TTTTTTCTATATATTTTTAGTTGTCTGATTAATTTCTTTCTATTTTTAGTAGAGACGGGGTCTTGCTCTTGCTCAGGCTGGTTTCGAACTCCTGAGCGCAAACAATCCACCCACCTCGGCCTCCCAGAGAGCTAGGATTACAGGCGTGAGCCACCGTGCCCGGTCTAGAAATCACCCCTTTTTGAGAAATAAATTGACTTCTCAAACTTTATATACATTTACTATATACCTATTAGTAAAACTATTTGCTGTAAACCACATAAACCTAATTTCAGCTCAAAGTAATTATAATACTACACATCTGATATGAAAATGAGCACAGAACTGCAGAAAAGTTCCAATAGAAATTTCTTGATAGTTTGATTTATTCCCCTCAAGTTAAACGTGCATTATAAAGGTGCCATGCTGCTGTACAAAGGATTATGCTTCCTTCAATAAAAATAAGTTTCAGCTAAGTTTATCAAAAGCCAGTCAAACAGAAAGTCTATAATCATCCCAAGTTTTGTGATGTTGTTAAACAGCTATTTAAAATGTCTTCAAACACTTGCAAGTGTACAAGATATTTCAAGGAAAGAGGGCGCTTTATACTAAAATTGGCTGGCAAGTGCATCAATGAATGTTTCCAAAACAGTTAGTGTAGCACTGTAAGGTAAAATACCTCAAATCTGGCAAGAAATGCAAAACAAGCTAGAGATTCTGGCCAAGGAATAACAACAGTTCACATCCACAACTTATTGGCGAGGTATGCAGATTTAACTCTGACAGGTCCCATACTAAAAGTGAAACCGGATCATCCAATTTCCAGCAAACAGTATTGTTTTATATATTAAATGAAAACATCAACCAACATCCAACACTCGAATTCATTTTAGAAAAAATAGAAATCTATAAAAAGAGCAAGTTATTCTCCAATCAGAGTCCTGGTTCTCAACCTACTTAGGGTCAGGCTTGCTCTGAATTCATGTTAGGGCGCTTCCCCTACTTCCTTCTGCACCTGGGCACATGGGTCTCAAAGCACTTCAAAGGCGGCTCAGGACTCCCGAAGAGACCCCGCCGCCACTCCTGCGGAAGCGATACCTTGTCCGGAAGACCACGGAGGACAACTTGAGACGCTTGCAAACAAGGGGAAGTCTGGGACACCGGAGGGGAAATTGAGGCAGGGCAGAGGCGGAAACTCAAGGTGACAGGGGCACAGGGTTGCCTCGAGCCCCAAACCCTCTCCCTGTTCATGAGGCCTCCACACGCCACCCCGGAGTACCTGTCACCGGCCGCGCAGCCGCGGCACACGCGCCTCTCGCGTCCCCTTTGCTGCCCAAGCCCAGGCCGCTCTTCGTCCGCTACAGCGCCTGGGACAACGCCAGGACGGGGCGGGGCGGCAGCAGTGGTGCCGGCTGCGCCAGTGAAAAGCCGACACGCGCCTTTCCCGCGGCTCGCCTGGATAGTCCGGCTTGCATAGCAGTAGCCCAGCAGCCGGCCGCCTTAATACTTCCGCTTCCTAAAAGGGAGACCGGGGACTTCCGGCTACTGAGTCGCGGCGAGGCAGCCCAGAGCGTCGTGCGGTCGCCATCTTGTCTCCTCAGAGGCCCCGCCTCTCTCCTTACTCCCGCCCTGCAGTGTGGAGAGGGCGTCCGCCGAGTCCCCAAGGTCTTGGGGAGGTGCGTAGAGCGCACAGCTGGGACCCAAAATTTTACCAGCTGGTGAAGCCAGAGAGGGGATTTGAACCCTTTTTTTCTGATTTGGAATCTGAGATTTACTCCCTTAAACCTTTCTGTTAGAAGCACTCTTGCACAGTCAAGGACAATTTGTCTTAATATTTCTGAGCATCTTAGACTTTACCCTAAACCCTGAAGTTTGATATTAATAGCTTCCGTTCCAGGGGATGTGGTAAAAGGAAGACTTTTTAAGTGTTACGAGCCGATTTAGCTTATCATATTCGGGCAGTGGCAGCTTAGTCTACAGGGATTACTTTGTCCTTTGATTTTTTTTTTTTTTGCGAATGTGTGTCACTGTTTAAAATTGTTTTAGAATACGTGACCCTGGGCAGATCATTTCACCCACCCTGAAATGGAGAGGGTATATTTTTAACTGTTATGTGAAGGAGAACTAGCCAAAAATACATTTGAAAGTACATAAAACGTGTAAAATTTTCACTGACTCCTAATTGTAGGACACAAACAGCCATTTCCCTGAAAATGCCAGAAGGACTAAAAATCCTTTGCTCAATCTATTATCTGTATGTCCTGTACTGTACTTAAGAATTTCTGTACCTAACTACTGGGTTTTCTGTTCCTTGCTAGAACAAAAGGAGCAAAAATAATTTTAGGGAACGAACATGAGCATTTTAAAATTCATTTCTTGAGGGAGCTTCTGTTAGTAGGTTTCCGTAGTGTGGTTTGTACCCCTCACTAAATCACTTCAGGTGATGCTTCTGTAAAAGGGAGTTGTATTTATTTCACCACATTACAAATTTGTTTACTTTTTTTTTTAACTTGGTCAGCTGCTATGTGATACATGAACAAAATCAAAGTTTGCTTAGTTTTAAGGTACAACTAGGTGATATTGTAGAGCTTCTAGGATAGTTAAATTTCTCTTTTTTAAAACTTTTCTCTGAAAGGTGCTAGCTTCTTTGAACAAAAACAGATTTTTAAATTTTTTTAACTTTATTTTGAAATAATTACAAATTCACAAGTTGCAAAGATAGTACAGAAAGGTCCCATGTACCCTTCAGCCCATTCCCCCAATGATTACATTTCAAATATCTATAGTGCAATATCAAAACCAGAAATTGAGTTGGTAGGATGTGTTTGTGTGTATATATTTGTCATTTTATCACATGTAGATTTGTGTAACTACCACCAAAATCAATAGTACACAAAGATCTACCTGGTGCTACCCTGCTATACAGTTAGAACTACCCTCCTGCCTCCAACCACTAGCCCATAGCAACCATCAATTTGATCGCTAAATCTAAAATTTTTTAATTCTAGAATGTTATATTAATAGAATCATGTAGTATGTGGCCTTCTGATTTGGGCTTTTTTTCACTCAGTGTAATGCCCTTCAGAGTCATCCAAGTTGTTTGTGTCAGTAGTTTGTTCCTTTTTATTGCTGTGAGTTTTCTTCCTCTGTCTTCTTTTCAAAATTTTCTCTTTGACTTCAGTTTATGCAGTTTGAATATGATATATACCTACATATAGATTTTTTGTTATTTATCCTATGTAGTGTTCTCTGTGCTTCCTGGATTTGTAGTTTGGTTTCTGTAATTAAATTTGGAAAATTCCTAATGATTACTTCAAATATATCTTCTGCTTCTTTCTCTCTTTCTTCTGCTTACGGTATTCCCACTATGTATTATATATGTTACATCTTTTGTAATTGTCTCTCAGTTCTTGGATATTCTGCTTTGGTTTTATCATTCCTTGTTCTCTTTGCATTTCAGTTCGGGGAAATTTCTATAGACATATTATAACCATGGAACTAGTCCCAACTTGTTCAACTTTATCAATAACAAAATGATGAGCTGTTTTTCAGTTGCAGTGGCCCCTCGGGCTGCAAGTCACAAACATGCACAGATGAACCAAGCATGCCTTCTTAGTGACCCTGGAGCCAGCTGGAATGAAAAAGTCAACCACATACAGAATGTAAGTACCAGGCTGAGGAGTGCAGACCAAATTAAGAAGCCAGGGGAGCCCTGTTTTTTCCAAGTGTGAAATTAAGAGCCCAGGACCCAGCACCATTTCTCTGCATAGCCCAATCAGATCACGCCCCATTGCATTTTCCTATCTCCCTCGTAGTTACACTGTTCCTATGAAACCTGCCTCTAGACCCCAGTTCAGAGAGACAGATTTGAGCATTGCCTCCTGTGCGCTTGCTGGTCGACATTGCAATAAAGTCCTCCTTTTCTCTAAAGCTGGTGCCATAGTATTGGCTTCTTTGCACCCGGGACAGTGAGCCCATTGCTAGGTGACAATGTCTTCAAACATACTGATTCTTTTCCTCAGCTGTGTCTAGTCTACTGATGAGCCCATCAAAGGTATTCTTCATTTATGTTAGTGTTTTGTTTGTTTTAGAGACAGTCTAGCTTTGTTTCCTAACCTGGAGTATAGTGGCGAGCTCGCTGCAACCTCAAGCCCTTGGGCAATTTTTTTTTTTTTTTTTTTGTAGAGACAGAGTCTCACTATGTTGCCCAGGCTGGACTCGAACTCCTGGTTTCAAGTGAAGTGGAAAATTGGAAAATTCCACTACCAAGTTTCCTCCCTTACAACCTTTCCCTGGGCCTCCTCCCCTGCTACTCCCCCTCCCCACCCGCCAACAGCTGCCAACCTCATAAATCATCTGTAGCAATTAGAGTACCAGGCCGTGAAGTAGCTTAAGACCCTGCCACACTAAAGTTAACCCTGTTGTGACCGTGCCCCTCCTCCTTAAGCAGAATGTATAAAAGACTGCTATGCTCTTTGTCTGGTGCTCAGAATTTGGGGAGAGCAAATTCACCTCTGGGCCTTGCTGGCCAGCGTGGAATACAACCTGTTTCTGCTATGTCTCCATGTGTCTCTCGGTTTGTTCCCAGTCACCTCTGCTGTAACACAAGCAGTCCTCCCACTTTGGCCTCCCAACGCACTGGAATTATAGGTGTGAGCCACCGTGCCCAGCCCATTTCAATTATTGTTTCTGTTTTTTGTTGTATTTTGTTTTACAGGAGAAAAGGCATACAAATTTATGTACATGGAGGCATCACAGGAAAGAAAAGCGAGTACCCCAGTGTTTTTGATTTCTAGCATTTCCTTCTGATTTTTTTCTTAGAGATTCTATCTCTGTGCTTATATTACCTATACATTCCTGCATGTTGTCCACTTTTTCCATCAGAGCCCTTAGCTTGTTAATTAAAGTTAAACTTTCAGTCTGGTAATTCTAAAATCTTTGCTATATCTGAGTCTGGTTCTGATGCTTGCTTTGTCTCTTTAGTTGGTGTTTTTTCTTGCCTTTTAGCATACCTATAATTTTTTGTTGAAAGCTGGACATGATGTATTGGGTAAAAGAAACTGAGGTAGGCCAGGCAGGGTGGCTCACCCATGTAAACCCAGCCCTCTGGGATGTCAAGGTAGGAGGATTGTTTGAGGCCAGGAGTTCAACACCAGCCTGGGCAATATAGCAAGACCCCATTTCTACAAAAAAATAGAAAAATTAGCTGGGCAAGGTGGCACACATCTGTAGTCCCAGCTACTCAGGAAACTGAGGCAGGAGGATCACTTGAATCTAGGAGTTTGAGGTTGCAGTGAGCTATGATAATGCCACTACACTCCAGCCTGCGCAACAGAGTACTGTACTTAAGAATTCCTATAGCTAAGTATTATTGGGTTTTCTGCTCCTTGCTAGAACAAAAGGAGCAAAAATAATTTTAAGGAATGAACATGAGCATTTTAAAATCCGTTTCTTGGGGGAGCTTTGGTCTCCACAAAAAAAGCAAAAAAAAAAAACCCAAAAAACAAACAAAAAAAAAGAAACTGAGGTAAATAAGCCTTTGTGAGTAGAAAAAACTCAAACTGTTTTTCCTCTTCCCTCACACCATGACATCATAAGACTTCCATGACCACTGAGTGCCATGATGTGTGCCTGTACTTGCAGCTACTCAGGAGGCTGAAGTGGGAGGATCATTTGTGCCCAGGAGTTTGGGGCCAGCCTGGGAAACATAGCAAGACTCTATCTCTTAAAGAAAAAAAGAAGACTTCTGTGACCACATGTGTGGGGATTTCTTCCTGCAAGCAATCAATTCTGCAGTAGACACCAAGTGGGTGTCCTCCAATCCAATTCAATTCTGATGCTATCTACCTCAATATTGCCTGTCTAAAAAAAGGAAATGAACTTACTTTCAAAACATATTTCAAACATGTGGCCGAATAAAGTAGAAAGAAATGAGAAGAGGCAGAAAGAATATGCAAATTGAGGTCACAAGGGAAAGAAAAAGCAACACATATAACCTGTCCCAGCTATGAGACCAGGTTATTTGGTCTCACCCAAAAAGGTGAGACATCTCAAAGGGGTAGGGGCTTTCAGGATATAGGTAGGTTCAGAGATTCTTTGATTTGCAACTTTGAAGCTTTATCTAAAGGCTTGGACTGTTTTAAGATAAGGAAGTCTGTTAATCTGAGACAAACCACTGGACATAATACTAGACTCAAGTGATCTGTTAAGTAAACTGATGGCCTGCAAGTGTGGTTCAACTTTTGTCTTACATGGCCTTAGGTCCTGTTAATAATTTAGTATCTTATTGTCACAAAGGATAACTCTAAACAGGAGGGAGCATAACAAGACATGTCCA